ACCACATTTCCCGTAATACGTACTGACAGGGAGATGTATGCGATGCAGTGAACTTATTCGAGGCCACAATTAGGGACTTTTTTAAATCATATTTCTGACCACCAAGAAATGAAACGAAATAGAACTAGAATATCAATATGTCAAACTTGTTCCAATTTACTTTCTGTTTCCATTTATTTATAACGGTGACGCTGTGTAGCACAGATTAAGGTACTATTGTAAACCTCTTAATTTTTGACGTCCAAATTATTTGCGCAGTTTAACTCTGACGTTCGATCCCTATATATCTTTAAATATAAAGTTATTCTAAATTAAACATTAATATGCACAACGAGCTAATTAAAAAAGTATGTATATATGGTATGCGACGATCTAATTAAATTTGAATGTTACAATAACTAAGTTATGCATACTTCGGAAAGTTCATAATGGAGTACGCTCACGTTATCAAATTACGTCGCTTGCTTACTTTTCACATTTTATTTACGCCAGACAAAAGTGTTTAGCTGACCTTGCGATTACTCGGAACTCCTCGCATGTCATAGGAGCATTTATTCGTATCCGGTTGAGATCCAGTGTCAGACACCTATTCGCTAGACACATGTAACGGTGAACCTTCGTGTACGTCTCTAAGAGTAACATGTGTCATCACACATGCAATGTCCCGTAATGATATAAAGGGGTACTCCAGGGAACACCCCTTGTCCCATGCCCATCCTTTTTCCCGTAATTAATATCTTGGTACAGTCTGTTAGTTTCTTAAATTATCCTAAAAAAATGTATTTAGGAAATCTAATACTTATGATATTTTCAATTTTTTTCATCATTATCCATTTATTTATTTATTATGTTTAATAATCAATAATCTCTTAGAGTTACAAATGTACCCTCCGTCGTTATCAAGGGCAAAGTCGAAAATGACAAGATTAAGTTGGACCGTCATTTTCCATTAATTAAGATATTTAAAAATGGTTCTGACGTAATCGGTCTTCTACGTGTTTTTGATACGCTGTTTCTTAATCACATGCAGAAAAATATATATGTTTATAAACAAAATACTTTTTCTAAAATATTATTTGAGCGGTTTTCTTATGTACGAAGAAGGAGCTTGAGTATGAGGAGGAAGGAAAGAACGACTAAAAGGACGAAGAAGAATATAGAGAACGAGGAGGGTAAAGGACGACACAATCGGTAGGAGAAGGACGAGGACGAGGACGAGGACGAGGAGGAGGAAGGGTAGGACGAGGACGAGGACGAGGACGAGGAGGAGGAAGGGTAGGACGAGGACGAGGACGAGGACGAGGACGAGGAGAAGGAGTAGGAGGACGAGGAGGAAGAAGACGAGTGTACGATCAGGAGCAGGACGACGACGACGAGGTACGATCCGGATGAGGAGGAGGACGTCGGTCAGGAAGATACAGTAAACAGGAGGAGGATGAAAGCAAGATCAGGAGAAGACAATATGAAGGAGGAGGAGGAGGAGGAGGAGGAGGAGGAGGAGGAGGAGGAAGTCGAAGACGAATGTAGCTTCAGGAGGAGGAGAAGGAAGGAAGGAAGGAAGGACGACGAGGAGGAGTTTCTATTGGACACAACTCGATCATAAGGTACGAAAAAATCGTACGTGACGAATCACAAAAGATCAGTGTCCACAGTTGTTTAGAAACAGTTCAGCATTAAATCGTCATTAAGGGAAATTTGTAATTTATACGAAATCTGCATTAATAAATTACGCCAGGGAAAGGCTGTTTTGACATGATAATTAGCGTGCCGAAGTTGTTTTTTTCGGTCGATGTCAGATATTTAGACGAATAAATTGAGATTTTACTTAGCCCCACGACGTAGGTGTCTGTCAAACTGTGGACCGGTCTTTTTAATAAAGGTCAATTACTGTCACTAAGACTTTCATATCCTTATATACGAGCATTTAATATTGTAATGATATGACCTTGATATCGAAACCTCTGGTTCATTCCGTGTCAAAACTGAGTGATAAGATCCCGAACTGACCGGTACAAGTGTTTGACCACTGACGGTCAATTATGGCGTGTACAAACGTAGGTATTCGACCGCAAGTGATAATTATAGTACTTATTTTGTAGGTGGTCCAGAAACACGTTTTATATTCAAATGAGTGGTCACTTAATGTCCAGCAGAGAAGGTGGTCAGTGCCGTTAAAAACATTCGCACATTGACAATGGTCAAGCAAAACTGGCACGACCGTTCGTGATTAGGACACTTGAAAGGTTTCTCTCATTATGTCACGGTCCTAATGATAAATAAAATCTCAATTTTGAAGAATTTGGATGGCCATCGAAAAAATAGCGGGAAACTTGTATATGTCACATCCGGGTAAATTTCATCTACGTAATACTTAACGAAGTAAACAGCGGCACGTACATTTCAGTGAGCTGAAACCCAGTATGGTTCAAAAGGGGACTTCCGTTGTGGAAATCTCCTAAACACACCCTCTTCGGACAAGTAATGTCACTGTCGCCGAGAGGGTTTACCCCGAAACTTTCTCCAAATATTGAAAGTTTGTTTTGTACGCCACGTGAAGATGGGGTACAATAGCGCGGTCTCGTTGAAGAGAGGTATTTACATAGCGCTATATGTCTTTCTCCGCCTTACGTGGGTAGCGCTGTAGGGGTCTTAGTAACAGAGCTCTAACATATATCACAATGCACGAAAATCCTATATTGCATTAAACATCATTGTAAATTTATCCAGATTGACGAATACAAAAGATTTTGTATACATTTAAAACTGTGTCAATGAAGTTACCAATGAAACGAAAATTTCTACAGACATAACGGGGAAAACTTTCAATAAATTTGAAAAGAAAGTAAACATTCGCTCTCCTTAGATGTTCACCGTTAATGTATCCACGAAAAACTTTCCCAAATTTCAACTATGGGAATGTATCGTATTTTTATAGGGTAGGGTGTATGCTCTTTGTAATACCTCGGCGTGTGATTTTTATTATTATTATTTTTCGTAACGTAGGAAAACAATTTCAAACAGTCTTTACAATTTTGAATAAATTTTCAAATAAACAAGTTTGAAGAGAACTCATGGTTAATCGTTTTAAGTTAAAGAATTAAATAAACAATTAAAATACTTCACAGAAATCAATGATTATAGGGGCGACACTTTTTTGTTAGCCAGGGCGGTTTGAAAAACACGTTTCTTATTTTTTCCCATTTATATTCGATATGTGAATATCATACTATCCACGAAATATGTAATTATACCGCTATACCGTTATATAAAGCTTTTTTGTTTTGTTTTTGTATTTATTTTTTTGTTATAGATTTTGTTTTATTTACAAACAAATAGATGATTATAACATATAACGCAAGTTGAACACATGCCAGCGCTTCAATGCATCGTACTGGTTGAGATCTATGATTTTACGGGGAATATGTAAAGGATATTTGAATTATTTTTAAAAAGGTTGTTATATTATGAACAACAAAAAGTAAAAGGTGTTTAAATAACAGTGGAGACATGATTTTAGTTTACTATATGAATAGTAAGGTGTTAGATACGTATACGTATTGATGCAAGAAATGCATGGCCAGACCGGGGTTCGAACCCAGGACCCTCGGAAATAATTGTGTCATTTAGAGATAGGTGAAATATGGAGGCGAAACTTACTAAGTGAATAGTTACGGCGGACTGTATATAGAGTAATCGGTGTACCTGTGAAGGTGGTTCAAGTTTTGTATCTTTTTGGGCTCTGTAGACCACCAATGTAAGAAATGCTGCACGTTATATCCCTACTGGTGATAGACACATAGACAGGCTGCTTATATTGAATTCCCTGGAAGAGTTTTTCTTTATCGACTGGTTGACTATGTCACCAGAGCTAGTAGATCTACTATTCATGGTGTTCTGTTTTGATTAATAAAATTAACGTGGACCTAGTATGGTTCCTTGTAGAACGACATCTTGATACATTTAAGTTTACTGTATATCTCCTATGCCAATGTATGGACAGAAGAAAGGGACGTAGCTACGATGTACAATATAAGAATAATGTCTTTATAAACAGGTCATCCACAGAGTTAATATTTATATGCATATTATTCATAAACAATAACGAAAATCGAACAAACACGGATCCTTGTAGAACGCCGCCGGCCGTCATACCACGGAACTATCCGTGGTCATACAGAGAAACCCATAGCTATCGTTGTACATACATTTCCCCCTTATAACATATAGCTGTGATGTTCATATTATACACGCTGTCCCCTTTAAGGCTCGAGTGTGGCTTGATATTATTATACCAGACACCAGATACAAATAAAAGGGTAACTTAAACTTATATTAACAGTGCGACGTCCATTATTTTAGATACACAAATGTTCATGATTTGTCTTTCAAACAGTGAAAGTACCGAGATTAAAGATTTGTTCGATATTTCTTATTTAAATAATTCAGCAGACCCCATATTTCTGTATAAATGTGCCGTATTTCAGAGGACAAGTACAGGTAAAGTGCTTCTATACATGTACTGTGAGTTGTCAGGTAACAGGTAAGTGATCTTAACCGTCAGGGACGCTATGTGCTGTTGTGAAACTACTGCATTTGATAAATATACTATTGTGTGAAAAAAATGTATCTTACAAAATAAAACCGGAGAACGTTTTGATGTCATAGCATTTAGGACCGAAACCCTAGGTAAGTAAGAGACATAGAGGATTTTGAAATTGATTTTTTTCAATATTTAGTACATGTACTAGAATATGTGGAAAACTCGGTAATCCAGAAATGTCACGCTTCGCAGAAGGTGATTTGAGTCCTCTGTTTGGACGGTACGTGTGGAAAACTAGTGATGGCGGTCACGCTTAGTGGGCGTGGTTTCGTGTAGGTGACATGTTTAATAACTACGTACCCGCTAGCCCAATCCTGTCAATCAGGTGTGACCTTTGCTCTCTGTATGTTACGCCCCAACCAATGAGGCAATGAGACACGCGACTGACACACGACCCGATAATCACTGCATGGACAAAGCTAGCAGCACGACAGATCTTCCTCTATTCCTGAAAACAAGATCGATAAAATATGAACACGGCAAAAATATTGCAGCAATATATTTTGATCAAGCCCAATACATTTCATAATGATGGGCATTCGCAGGCGCTGCGGTCTCTTGAAAATTCACCGCACATCTTGTCGGAGTCGGGCCAATATGTAACTAGAAACATCATCAGTTGTCAGGCCGATTCCTCTACGTCATGCCTCAAACGCACCAAGGTCTCCACTATGTCGCGCCGAAACGCAAGAGAACGAAGGCGCGTGAAAATGATCAACCTTGGATACGAAACTCTAAGAGACCATGTTCCTGCAGGGATCGAGAACAAGAAACTCAGCAAGGTGGACACTCTACGGTCAGCAGTGGACTACATAAAACAGTTACAGCAACTACTTGAAGTGACCAGCGCCGACGGAAATAGCAGCAGCAGCAATAACGGACAGAATTCTCAATGTGATACAATCAAACAGGAATGCCCATCCCCAGTGACAAGCAGTAACTGTAACAGTCAAGTGTCCAGTACGGTCACGAGTCCCTCGGACAGTGTCCACTCGCTAAAAATGGAAACATCATCTTCCTCCGGACAATCTCTGCATCTGCAGCCAGACAACAGCAGCGTGCTAAGAGAAGAGAACGTGTTCATAGACATTGCAGAATGGCTTTGCAGAACGTCAAGTGGTTACCCTAACATAGGAATCGGATTTGAAGGTGAGATATGATAACTTTATTGAAACTGTACATGTACCTATTTGGAGAATTTAATATCGCCTGTTCGATATTTAAAATATATTAGTATATAACTTTATCAGTCAAAAACAGTCGCCAATACCAGACCAGTCAATATGTTTTTTGCTGCCTGCATAGCAAATAGCCACTGTTCCAATAGTCATTTAACTCTGACATCAAGACGACAGCTTTAATATAAGTTAGGAAATTTTAAAAGTTTCACAAATGCAATTTACGTAAAAAAGTTAATTTAAAATGTGTTAAATTACGAAGTAATGAAAAATTGATATTTCAATGACACACAGCATTAGAATTGTGTTTCTGACGATAAACTTGTAGTTTTCTCTCTCTCGTCAAAATTATGGGGTTAAAGGAATTTTGCCATCTTTAATCATTTAGCTATAAAACTCAATTTCCTTCTGTTTCTGTTCCGTTTTCTTTCGAAATATCGGGGGGTGTTTGTGGTCAAGAAGGGGAGAAGCATTTTGGGGGCATAGGTTCTCTAAGGTAAGCATGACCAGCTGGGGACACGGGGATACTGAGCAATTTTTGGGTGAATCCTATTCAGTTTGCCGTATCCACGGGTCAGCTCCCGGTCATCTGGGTATGCAGTCGGTGTATCATACTTGACGGACAATGCGGACAAACCTTTAATGACCGCTAGTGGACATAAAGAACGATCAGAGTTTTCCTATAAAACATACCCATTCGAGAAATAAATTAAAAGTGTCATCCATTCAAAATTCTCGTCATTGAAATATCATGAAAAAAAGTTGTCTTTTATGTTTATGTAAATTAGCTCTCAGCATAGTTACACTAACTGCATTAGAGTAAAAATTAACTCGATCATACTCAATAGAACACACGACAATGCAGGAGGGCACAGTGTAAAAAGGACAGGTGGTTTGTAATGTATTGTAATCTCTGCCCGGGTGACAAAATCCTCAGGTGTAATATTGTAAGCGAGCTTCAATATAGCGTGTTTCTTATTGGCTTCAGTAAAAAATCCGACAGAACGGTTTGACACTAGACAATATAACGTCACAAAGAAAATCAGTCCCGGGAATTTATCGGATACTTTGTACTGGAAAATTAACCGAACATTGACAAATCGTGGGCTATGTTGTGTTGATAGAATGTCAATTTGTTATTAGGTACAAAAAAAAATCGATATATTGATCTGTTTTCCTATATGATGGAGTGTCAATCTCGCTAACCGGAAGGATCAGCACGGATCAAAAATCAATATCATAAAGGACCTTTACCGTGTATCAATTTTGACATCGCAATTAATTCGTTAGAAAAAAAAATCTTTTTTGTTGTATTTTAAGTTTAACAAAAGTAAGAGATAAAGTCAATAAATATTTGTTGTTGTATTGTTAAGCGTGACAACAAAAAGACATAAAAGGAATAAATAAATAGTTGTTGTATCGTTAAGTGCGACAAATATGAATTATGAAATAAATAATGCATATATAAATCTGTCTTTTTGTCAATAATGTGATAAATGCATGTTTATTTTAAACTGGTTTTAAAACTCTTTTTGTCTTGATTTCAGGACTGGAAACGTGACACAGTGTCTGAGCTGAAAGTCTGGACGAGACCGTTTCTGTTTTCGGAAAACCACGGACAAACATTTCATCGAATCAAGTTGTTACGACGAAAACACTGTTATTTATGGATGGTTATTTTGAGACTTATTTTTGAGAAAGTTTATTCAGCATTATATATATTTTTTATATATAAACTCAGGGAAAAGAGCCCGTTGACCTCCGACACCTCGGATCAAATCTGTCTCTCACACGTGGTAAACAAAACTGAAAGACGACATGCTTCCAATCAAAATTATTATGTTTATTGACTTTTACGGACATGGTTTGGACCAGTGTGTTTTGCCAAAAACATGAATTGTTGAAGAATTATTTATATTTTATATATAACGTATGTATTGATTAACGGAACACCCAAAGTGTGCCTTTCTGATATATACTTGTATGTTTCTGTGCTTTAACTGTTAATTAAAGACGTCTATTTTCATAGAAATAATCGGTTTATGTTGTTGTATCTATTTTAGTTGATATTGATTATCAGTAAAGATTTCGTTTACGCCAATAACACTATGCGCACAGGTTTAATGTTCTTTGCTGAAGCCGTTGTTGTTTATAGCGCCAATATAATAGAACTGTATGCCTTTTGGGGTAAAATGTTATAAATATTCAGGGTTTTATAGATAATGAAATAAATGGTTTTGAGAGGAAGTACAGATTTATCTCAAATATACAGATTTTTTAGATAAAATATAATATTTAAAGGCATAAAATAGATTCACACAGTGATATCATTCTACGGAAAGTCTGTAAGTTTGTATGGCTTGTGGTGGAAGCGGTGGGATGGGAAAGAGATTATCATAATAATATGCGCTTCTGTTTCAAAGAATGAAAAAAAAATCCCCCCAAAAAATCATACTTGTCATCATAACTATGAGACTGTCACGGATGAGAGATTTCGTTGTTCGGTTCATCGTTAATTAGAGTTCCGTTAGAATTCAGGTGAATGTATGCCCATTGTCAGCCGACATGCACGGGCGCACTCTTAATTACGTACCACTGTTTGAAAAGTGATTCCCCCTATATATGGCCCTAGGCTAATATGACCCCGAGCCGTAACACCTGCCCCTCTACCAAAACCATTCGCCATGCCTCTCGACCAATGAGATTGCGCCATTCCATTAGACGACAGTCTCGCGCGTGCCACGGTGTACCGCAACGCGTACTGTATTTCTATAGGACTATTAACCACAGTGACTAGAAAGCTGCTATCAAGCCTGTTGATGTTTTCAACAAATAAATTCCCAAAATACAAAAGTGATTTCTGAACACACATTATACAGAGGTTTATAAACTGTTTGAGTTTGAACTAGATATCACATATAGTACCAGTATTCGCGTTGTTTCCGTTAGAGACATCAGGAGCCACTGTCATTATGCAAGTAGATTAATTACGTCTCGCACAGGTAGAGAAATTCTCACCTGTTCACCTGCCTGACATCGTTGCTACGTTCACTGTTATGTGCTAACTGTATTACGTTAATAGATGGGATAGGTTTTGGTTTTTATTATTTAATGCATAGCGATCGTGTGCATAACTTATCACTTTAAATATTATAAGGAATTGTCTATAAACAAAGACCTAACGAATGTAATTTTTGTTTTAGAAATATTAGTGAGAAAATCATATGTATTATCAAGGACTTAGAAATCTAATCCAGTTCCGTTATATTATTTATATATTTATAAAGTTACGTTTAATCTCAATGAATCATCACAAAAATTAAAGAACACACCTTTCAAAAATATACATGGCAACTACAATTGTCCATTGTTCTTGCATAATTTCGTTTTAAGTCAAGCACCTTTAATCTAATCAAGGTTATTCGAGATCGTTTAGCACATTGATGAACATGGACCTGTTACCTTCAAAAAAATGAGCTTGAGGAAAACACAATTCTACATATTGTGGATTGGAGCTAACATTATTCCTGAAGTTAGTTATGAGGACAATAGATATAAATCATGGGAAATTACGCTCTATCGTTGGGATCGATAATTTTGTTGATTAGTGCTCGCATCAGTCACATCGCTTGCTTGTTTGTGCGACCTGTTGTTGACTGGGGAGACATGTCGGTTTGTAAGACATGTATGCTTTAAAAATACGTCATCTCGCCGGCCGTTAAGACATGTCGTCTGTTTGATATAGAATTTCGGCAATAAAAAAACCCAGATGTCGTCTGCTTGGACCAGCTAGGTATTGCTCATGCGTTGCCACATACTGTTGCATAGGGGATGCAAATATTCCAAATCCAACACTACAAAAAATGGACGTACGCAGATAAAACATTAAAAATAAATAGCACAGCAGATATTAGTCTAGCCTTGTTCAAGATCTCAAAAACTGTACCAAAGGGAAGAAACTCTGTCTGAAATGAAAAACTTTATTTTTTCCCCTCAGTCTAATATTAAACACTTTGTGAAAAGAAACCGGACAAGCAGATGTGCTTGTGCTTTGCCAAGGTGTTATTTTCAATTAAGAAAAACTAACGTAAAAACATGACCTATGTAAAAAAAAAAAATCAAAAAAAAATCCATACACCCGTGCAAAGTGGGTAAAGTTTGGTAAGCTTCGCCAATAATCGTTTTTTTAAAGATAGTAATGCTGTATTTCATTTGAACTGGATTAATATGGCATTCAAGATGACTGTTTTCCTTCGTTGATCAGACGGCAAGACACATTCTTTACATGTTCGTATTTAAAAACCAACATGAACTATCAAAAAAAAAATTTTTGGAAAAAATCAAAGAAAACACGTAATATGCAAAGCTAACAAGGCTAACAAAGCTAACAAAAGCGGAAATACGGATTTATAACCGGGTTTTGTTTACATGATTAATATGACCATGGCGTAATTCCCGCTTCTTTATATGAAAGTTATTGGCACTGAGCCAAATTAAACAAGCGACGGCGTTATAGTAATTTATGGGGAGTGTTTCCTAACAGTGAGTGTTATCGTAAGTACCCGCTATATTTACCGGTAATATATACGGTCTGAAGGTCTAACAATTTTGAATTCAACGCGGTTGGTGAATTATACTCAAAACTCTATGGTCGCTTTACTGCTCTACGGCTTAAATTAATTCAAAGCTTCTGATTGGATGAACATGAATTTAGCTAAGAATAATGAGGAAAATCTAAGTTATTTTACATGTTTTCGAAATATGAATTATATACTAATTACATTTAAATATACAGCTGATTTCCCAGCGAATTTTGAGATCAGCTAGATTGTTTACCGAATAATTGATAAGTTGATATTTATTTAATTTTAATTTGTTTTTATGGTCTGGTATCAATCTTACATTTTTGTTCTTTTCGACCAAGTTGCCAGGTACTTTCCACAGGTTCGTGCTTTTTATACAGGTACTCCGGTTTCCGCCACCACCAAAACCTGGCTTGCCCTTAAATGACCATAGTTGTTGAAAGGTCGTAAAACACTAATAAACTAATTGATTAGTTCACCCCATTGGTAAGAATAAAGTAACCGGGAAGTGTCATGTCCTATCGTGTGCGTGTCACGAGACGGAAAAAGCCCTGGCGGAGCAGTAAAATTCATAAATGCGAATAAGAATAATCCTCGGCTATATTGTACATTGTCTAGACTGGCTACCAGCCGCTAAGTTTTTATGAAGAATTTCTCGACTGCGTTTTACTTCTAGCTTATCTCCCCCTAGTTTAGAACTTATGATCAGAATCAGACATCCAAGTGATCAAAATTATGAGAGGTGTTTTTTTTTTGATAATTAAATATTCTAGAGGTGGGAGCCAGTCTATACATTGTCTTATATTTAACTAATCCGGAATCAAGTGCTTAAGGATTAACTTGAATATATTGTTCATGTTATGGATATATAACACAAAAAAATGAGTGTACTCTAAATAAACCTTGAAGCCAATTAAAATGCTTGTTACAAGCAAAAGTAAATTATATATACATAACACCTATAAAATGAATTGCATTTTGAAGAAAAAGAAAAAAAATCGTAAGCTTTATTAGATTTCAAAGCGTTAAACCAGAATAATCGGTATCATCATCATCATATATTTTCGTAAATAATTGTTTCATAACAAATTACAACTACCTAATTATTTCAACTTGTGTGACGTCATCGTTAATAGATTAGAAAACAAAATGTTATAATATAAAACATGTATAATGACAAACATAAAGGACGAACAAACCGTTTTCAAATGTTGTTTTAAGGTTGTTCTCCCTGTTTGTAGAGGTAAACGTTAACTGGTTTTAAGTATGGTTAATATTCATACAGTTAAACCTCGTTATACTGCCACCATTTATTCATAAACATGTTGGCGTTATAAAAGGGTTTGGCCATGGATAGAGAGAAACATGTAAGGGAATCCTTAAGAAAAAGAAACTTGAAAGATGTTGGCGGTAAGCGAGGTGGCAATGAAACGAAGGGCGTTATATCGAGGTTTACTGTACCACCGTATAAACTTCTGTTTCAATTTAATTCAAAACACATTTTTTGCTGATATTTGTTTATTTCAGATAATTTGTCGAGCGTTGTTGATTGAAGCAAAGTCAAACGAGTATAAAATATTGATCAACATATTTTATCACCGTTTGTAAAATCCTGTATCCGTGTCTATAAATTCCCCAAATGGACTCCCCCCACCTGTCTTGTAGAGCGTTGTGTAACACTTACCGCAGAGACTGTTTGCTGATTATATATTGACTTTAGTTGTCACGTGATTATTATGAAGGAGAATGAATGTTTACTGGTATACGGTGCCTACTAGGATTGATATTAAACACTTTCAGGTGTAATCTTATCAGTACGGCACGTGTCATACGTGGGCCTTACGTGCCCTCAAAAATCATGTATCTTATACTACAGTCAAACCTGACATGACCTATGTATGTATTAAGAGACCACCTGTATTAAGAGACCACCTGTGTTAGGAGACCACATCTATTTAGAGACACGAGAGTCCATCTCTATTAGGAGACCACATGTGTCAGGAGACCACTTCTGTTACGAGACCACCTCTATTAAGAGACCACCTCTATTAGAAGACCACCTCTATTAAGAGACCACCTCTATTAAGAGACCACCTCTACTAAGAGACACCCTCTGTTAGGTAGGGATGTCACGGTAACCGAAATAACGATTAACCGCGGTTCAAAAGACCACGGTTCGGTTCGGTTCATAATTTCCGTATTTCGGTTCGGTTCTCTACTGTTAGGAGACCACCTCTACTAAGAGGCATCCTGCGTAAGTAGACCACATCTTCTAAGAGATTAGCTGTGTTAGGAGATCATCTCTAATCAGAGACCACATGTGTTAAGCTACCACAGTTTGAACTTCACATAGGCGGTCTCTAAATATAGGTTATACTTTACAGTATATCCATAAAAATGGCGTTAGAATGAGATCTGCCGATAAATTGAGGGAAACT